TTCGCGACTCTTGGCATCACATCTCTGGGCAGCACGAGCGTGACACACCTTCTGCGACGACACACCAAAGCAATTTTGATGCAGGCCCGCGGCATGTCACGAAAACTGGCAGCCACACATTCTTGGTGTTTCCTTCCAACGCCGGCTTTGCGACAATCTTTGCAAGCTGCTAACCGACTTGCACGCCTGCTACGCTTGCTCTCTCCGTATTTGCTCTTTGTATTCATGGTCTTTAGGCGCTTTCTTGACCATCCACGTGCAGTCTACGTTTCTCTTTTTGGCGGTCTATCCATCTGGAGGGTCTGTTGCACCGCTTGGCCTGTGCCGTGCATCTGCGACAGAACACGCTCAGCCCTCAGGAGTACGCAGCCGGAAAGGACAATTCATGGGGGCTGGGGGGGAAGGGAGGGGAGGGGGAGGGAGTCCAAAAAAGCCTTGTTAAGCCCTTATTTAGGGCTTACTTGGGCTCCCTCCCCCTCCCTCCCCCTCCCTCCCCCCCAGTTCCCATAAGCCATGCGGCAGGCAAAAAACAGCAACGACCCGAATTCCCTTCACAAGGTTTCGACCGTGTTCTTTTTTTGCCGCTGCGCGCCTTGGCGAGGTAGTAAAAGCTCTGACTATAGACCTGCAGGAAGGTCGAGAAAGTTGCTGGAAAGGCCCAGTGTGTTTTTTGGTAATTACTCTTTCAAGGCTGGTTTAAAGGGAAACCGCAACGAAGGCCCTCAAGTTGTTGGGGCTCCAGCTGGTCAGGATTGATTTTTCTGCAGAGCGCACAGGGGATTCCAAACGCATGCTACTGTACTTTGTAAACCAGAACATTTGGAATCCAAGGAACCTTCACCGGTGGAATCACAGTCGATGTTTATAGCCCCAGGTCGGTGAGCTGGTTGATTTGTTTGGGCAAATGATACTAAGCAGGAGCATCTCACTTGCCAAAGGACCTGGAAATCAAAGGATGACCTTTTGGGACCGTGCCTAAACATTTTTTCTAGACAACTGCGGCATAGACATGGCTAAGGGGGGGGGGCAACGGTCTCTGGGTTACCAAAGGGGGCCCTGCCTAGTCTCTTGGCAACACAGAAAATGGCAACCTCAAGCCCTGTTTCCGACAACCATGAGCATAGACTCGAGTGGAAGGCAGTCTGTAGCCTCACGGAAGCAACTCGATGGGTGGTAAAGTCGCCAATGACTGTCTTGCATTTGCGTTTCCGCCCCCTGGAAAAATAAAAAACACATATGTCCAATTCCGCATAAAACCAGCAGGGCAAAACATATCATATTCACTTCAGCAAACGGCAGCTGTGCTCCAGTCGTTGCTTCGACGGTTTCGAGCAGCCTGGAACTGGGAACCAGGAAAGGTGAGACTAGGTCCTCCAGAAATTCGAGAGGCTCGAAGAAGGGTACCAGCCTTTTTTTTCCTGTCGCCTATTTTACTAGGGGATTTTCTGAAAAAGGGGAGAGCAGGGCACTGGGGGACCTAGGAGAGCATTCGTTTTGCCAGCTCCGGCTCCGGCTCCATTTCCGCAAACAGAACGGAAGGCTTGGAACTGGGTTGTCCTACAAGACATAAAGCGGACCAACGTGGAAGACTTCTCTGAAGTGGCATCCGCCATGATCATTCTGGAACCCTGGCTGAACATTTTGGGGCTCAAGATCGTCCAAACATAAAGAACCGAGGCCGGAACGCCATGAGACTGTGCTTTTGCAAGAAAACATACCTTTCAGATTTCTTGGCTCTTTGTTGTTGACTGTTTTGTTGTTGTTAACGTTTTTTTTTGTTGAATCTGCAAACCAACACAGCCCCCATGGCGTCCCGTGCTGACAATTGTCCAAGAACACGTCAACTTGTTTCCAAAAAGAGAGGGCCCGCGTAAAAATGGCGAGCTTGCTCGTGCTTTCTCGCCAGATGAATGGGGTTTCCCGGTTTCCCTATCAAAACACACAAGTAGATGCCCGACAATACTGCCACCAGAACGAGAAGCAGCTGGGTCCCATGAACCAGGAAGACTCCTGAACTTCCGACAACGACCTACCCAAACCTATAGAAGGTAGATGGCACATTTGTCTTTATTTGGGCAGGTAAAGGGGAACCCGAATTGGGGGCCATTTACTTTCAGCCAATTGTACCCTGATGCTGTGGATGGACAAAATCCATTTCGCACCACCGTTCAGAAGCCCTGGAATGATGATGGGTCGAGATTTAATTTGGTTTTTTTTTTGTTTTATTTTAGGATGTTTTTTTGTCTTCAGTCCTGGCTACTAAAAATGCTGTAATTTACAGCATTTTCTCGCGAAATGTGCGTATTTTTCGCGTCCGTCAACATCATCAGCATCGTTTTCAACATCCCCCGCATGTCCAGCCAACATCCCCAGCATCACCAGCAAATTGGCTTCCCGCATCTCATGGTAAAAGGAATCCTCAATTAAAGGCGCGGGGGGGTTCCCCCATGATGATCAAACAATTAGGGGCAAAGAATCTAAAAAGTAGCGGTCGCATGATGATCGAAAAAGTGATGATTCAATTAGCGGCAAAAAGTCCAAAATTAGCGGGGGGGTTGGGGGGGGCGGCAGCCCCCGCCATGATGATTGAAAAAGTGAGGATTCAATTAAAGGCGCGGGGGGGTTGGGGGGGGCGGCAGCCCCCCCCATGATGATCGAAAAAGTGATGATTCAATCAGGGGAAAAAGTCTAAAAAATAGCGGGGGGTTGGGGGGGGCCGCCCCCCCATGATGATCGAACAATTAGGGGCAAAGAATCTAAAAAGTAGCGGTCGCATGATGATCGAAAAGTGATGATTCAATTAGGGGCAAAAAGTCCAAAAAAAAGCAGCGGGGGGGTCATCAGTTCCTCTGCGGCAAGGCCTCATGGTACAAGTGAGGATTAAAATACGGGCAAACTCATCCCTGTAGATCGAAAAAGTGATGATTCAATCAGGGGCAAAAAGTCTAAAAAATAGCGGGGGGGTTGGGGGGGGCGGCAGCCCCCCCATGATGATCGAACAATTAGGGGCAAAGAATCTAAAAAGTAGCGGTCGCATGATGATCGAAAAAGTGATGATTCAATTAGGGGCACAAAGTCCAAAAAATAGCGGGGGGGTTGGGGGGGGGCGGCAGCCCCCCCCACGATGATTGAAAAAGTGATGATTCAATTAGGGCAAACAAAAATATATTAAAAAAGCAGCGGGGGGGTCATCAGTTCCTCTGCGGCAAGGCCTCATGGTACAAGTGAGGATTAAAGTACGGGCAAACTAATCCCTGTAGATCGAAAAAGTGATGATTCAATCAGGGGCAAAAAGTCTAAAAAATAGCGGGGGGGTTGGGGGGGGCGGCAGCCCCCCCATGATGATCGAACAATTAGGGGCAAAGAATCTAAAAAGTAGCGGTCGCATGATGATCGAAAAAGTGATGATTCAATTCGGGGCACAAAGTCCCAAAAATAGCGGGGGGGTTGGGGGGGGCGGCAGCCCCCCCGACGATGATTGAAAAAGTGATGATTCAAGTAGGGCCAAAAAAATATTAAACAGCAGCGGGGGGGTCATCAGTTCCTCTGCGGCAAGGCCTCATGGTACAAGTGAGGATTCAATCACGGGCAAACTAACCCCTGTAAAACACCTAAAACATAGCGAGGGGGGGGGGCGGCAATTCCCCCCATGATGATTGAAAAGGTGATGATTCAATCAGGGGCAAAAAGTCGGGGGGGATGATGATTGAAAAAAGTGATGATTCAATGGGCCAAAAAAAATATTTATAAAAAAAACAGCGGGGGGGGCATCAGTGCCTCTGCGCCAAGGCCTCATGGTAAAAGTGAGGATTCAAATACGGGCAAACTAATCCCTGTAAAACGGCAGCCAAAGAATCTAAAAAGCAGCTGTCGCATGATGATCGAAAAAGTGATGATTCAACTAGGCGTGCATTTTAATCGAAAGGGGGGTGGCGGGGGGCACCAGAGAGGAACTTGCGATGCTGAGGATGCAGGAAGCCAAGCAAAAACCAACTGGGAAAGCAGAGGATGCGAAAAGCCAAAGCCAGAAAGCCGCCAAAAGCCACAAAGCCAAAAAGCCAGGAGGATGCGAAAGAGAGGAACTGTGAATGCAGAGGATGCGAAATGAAAAGCCACAAAAGCTACAAAAACCCACGTAAAAGCCACAAAAGCCAAAAAGCCGAAAAGCCACCCACCCTGAAAAACAAAAATAATTCCTAAAAAAAAACGAAAAAAAAATCACTAAACAAATGGCCCTCCATATTCCCCTGTAAATACCACCCGACCATGGTCTCAACCATGGTTTCAAAGTGGTGCGAACGGATTTTGTCCATCCACAGTATCATTGCCCGTTCAAATGGATGGCTCGGAGAACGAACTGTTAGGCTAAGGATTGAGCCCACTGCTTCTTTCGATGCTCTCGAAAGCGGATGTACCTTTCTCAGAAGCAAATGAGCAGCGCCCGTGTCAAGTTGGCTCTACTTCCCAAAACATAGTCATAGAGTAACTAGGCCCACCATGTCCAGTTCGGCTTGGGGCCGCTGCCCGAATGAATGTAAGGCCCCACATGCACATGTTTCATCAGATAATGGGCAATCCAGGTACGCTCACTCAATTTTTGGCAAGTAAGGCCTTAGAAGTCAGGAAGCCCCGATCTATGGGGTGTGGATTGCCTCTCGTGCAGGATTCGTCCAGAGATCTGAGAAACTGCGAACGGGAAGCTTTGAGTTTCGTCCGCGGCAATGGAAATGCCCGTAGCCCAGTTCCCAGGCAAGCCAGAATAGGTGACCAGCCATGTTCCTTCCAGTTGTTGGGTGAGAAGGCCCTTGGTTACTGATACAGATAAATAGAATCCTTTGGAGTTTGTGCTTTTGTGGAACAAAAGGGTGTCATAGCCCAAGTCGTCAAAGATTGCTCCTAGATCCTTGATGGGGGCTGCAAACCGTCTCAACCTGACTTGGAAATTGACTTGCGCGTTGTGATCTTCCTTCAAGACCGAACTTGATGGGAAACCTGCAAGCTTGAAGCATCGGTGCCCTGCCTTCTCAAAATCTAGGATCTTAGGACCCCGGTACGCTTGGATTTCACGGACCACTCGTAGTTTGACCAACTCAAAGTTCCAGCCGTGGTCATTTGTCAGGGTCGGGCCAACCAAGAAACATGACAAACGCAGCCCGGTGGTTCAACAGCTTGCTTTTGGTTTCGCTTCAGGGTGCATCTGCTTGCAATTAAACACATTCTGCCAAGCCTGAATTCAAGTGTTCTTGCTGCGCCCTATCTTAGAATCGCATTGATTCTGGCTGTCGCCCATTTTACCGGAGACCCAAACCAAACCTCCCCCCCCGCCGAACCCCTTTTTGGTTGGTTTTAAATGGAGGCCAAAAGCAAATGGGGGGTCCTCTTAAACAGACTGCACATGTTTGATATCCATGTTTCGTCGAACCTAACAAGTACAATCATGTCAAACAGGATCCAATGCCATCAACACCTGTTAGTGCTGCATCGCTTGGAGTCAGCGCTAAGTGAAACAACCGCCCAAAGGGAACCCCGGATACATAAACCCATCCTATCCTACTAGGGCGGTGTTCCCCCATCCTACTAGGATTCCGACACTAAAAGGGGACATCCCCGTATGAATCAAGGGTACGTGGCTTCTAGGATGGCCTTGAAAGCAATTGCCGAAATGAAACCAACCAGGTCCTCAGCTGGGGACCCCGGCTTGCCGGTTTATCAGTCCGGGGCTTCTTTCTGAGTTCCCATAGGTACCAATAATGGTCCACACAAACCGTTTCATCAAGAACTACAAAGGCGGACATCCGCCGCACCAAAATCTGATCTTTGTGGCTGAGATTCACTTCCCTGGGTTTTGAAATATTGACTTACATGCAATAATCAATCTCTCCCTTCGAACCAACAAAAACAAAAAAACACCGCACGCGTCCCCATCCGCGTCGATCTCCACGATCTGGCCGCGCTGCCTGAGACATTTTTGTGGCGACCATGTGCCATGTGCATCCCCCCCGGAACCTGCAAAATACCAACGCTGTATCATGTCGACCCTTTACTTTAAACGGAGGTATTTGCCATGGAAAACCATGTGTCTCAAACAATGATTCTAAAAAGGATGGTATTTTGAGTAGGGGATAGTGCAAGATGGTCTTCATTCTGCCGTGGCGGTCGTGCCAATGAAAACCAGCTGGGGTATATAGCCACTGAAAGCCTGGCTTGCTCTTTCCCCTGAGCCATTTTTTCACAATTAAGGTCACACCAAAGACCAGCTACGCTGCCACGGACCATGCACCAAGCCCGCCCCGCAGCAGTGGCCGCGAAGTCCCCAAAAGAGGTCGTTCAGTCTTTGCGGTCTAAGGGAATGTGACGGTATGTGCCGAAATAGATTTGGATGCCGCAAATGAACCTCAGTTTTCCTTTTGATTTCCAATCAAGCCTATCTGAAAAGGGTACCGAGCCTGCAAACGGGAGGGGGATCATTTTCGAACACCGATTTTGGATCATTTTCGAACACCGATGTCCTGGATCATTTTCGAACACAGAGTGGGTCATTTTCGAACACATGGGGGGGCTATCCTGCGGCACCCGTGGGGTGGGGGGGGGGGTGGGGCGGGGCAGTTGCGTTCGCCTCTTACTGCGCGCCCGTGCAACTGCGCCCTGGGGCTGGGGGAAGGGGGCAACCAGAAGGCTCCGAGTCCCAAGTTACCTTTGCTTTTTGAGCTAAGATGTCCTCGGCGACTTGCGCTCGTTGGCCCCCGTAAAGCCGTGAAAGCTCGGTCTAACGGCCGTAATAACTCGCGCGGGAAACTGAAAGGCCGCTACTACTCCGTGAAAAAGCCGTGAAAACTCGTGAAATTTCAAGCTCTGAGTTATCTTGTCCTCGCGACACAAAAAACCTCCTTAGCTCATACGGCCTAAGTAACTTGCGAATCGGAGCCTCCTGGAATTGCGATCGCCGCTTACTGCGTGGCGGCGCAACTGCGTATTGGGGCTGGGGGGGGGGGGGTGGGGTGGGGCAGTTACGTTCGCTTCTTGCTGCGTGACCGTGCGACTGCGTCCTGAGGGGGGGGGGGGATGGGGTGGGGCAGTTACGTTCGCCTCTTACTGCGTGACCGTGCGACTGCGCGCTGGTGGTGATGGCGGTGTTGTTGGTAGCGATGATGACGATGTTGATGATGATGGTCATGATGATGATGATGATGATGATGATGATTATGTTGACCATGTTGATGATGATGATGATGATGTTGATGATGATGATGATGACGGTGATGATGTTGATGATGATGGTGATGATGTTAATGATGATGATATTGATGTTGCCGATGAGGATGTCGATGGCGATGACTTTGATGATGTCGATGATGATGGTGATGTCGACGTTGATGTTGATAATGGTGATGATGTTGTTAATGATGATGATGATGGTGATGATGTTCATGTTGACGATGTTGATGATAATTTTGACGATGGTGATGTTGATGATGATGATGATGATAATGGTGATGATGATGGTGATGATGATGATGATGATGGTGATGATGGTGATGTTGACGGTGTTGTTGATGATGATGATATAGATGTTGGCGGTGATGTTGATGATGGTGATGATGATGTTGGTGTTGATGTTGATGATGGTGATGTTGTTGGTAGTGATGATGACGATGTTGATGATGATGGTAACGAGGATGGTGATGATGATGATGATGATGTTGACGACGATGATGATGATGATGATGGTGATGATGATGATGATGATGGTGATGATGATGATGATGATGATGATGATGATGATGATGATGATGATGATGATGATGATGATGTCGCTTTGCGTTCCTTGTGCTTTGTGTTCCCGGGTCTACAGTTGACGATTGTCTCCCAAAAGCACGGCGCCATCCATGTGCTACACGTGCATCGTGGTGCGTGTTCGTGCGCCTCATCGTGGTGTGCATGGACACTTGGAAAATGGCCGTGCTGCTGTAAATCACATACACTTGAGCAAAACCGCGTTCAAAAACGAGCCAAAACACGCGTTCAAAAACGAGCCAAAACACGCGTTCAAAAACGACCACCTTCCCCCTGCAAACCCACGCAAGCGCACAACCACTGCACACGCCTAAACAGGACCACCGCACGGCACGTTTTATCCTCGGCTCACTGTACAAACCGCTGTGCCAGCTGCACTTGACAGCGGTTGGGACTGCCATGCTGAATCAAATGAGGGTTGTTCAAGAAAGGGCCCTACCTTAGGAGGACCTTTCTTGGGACTCTTTTGTGACGCATGGAAACCGGGCATCGAGGTCCACATTGGGAAGTGTTCTGTCTGAACAACCCTCAACTGACGGTGCATTCAAAATGAGATGGACTTCTCCAAACGGTCGGTTGTCTTCTGGTTTAACTCTAGCCCGCCAAAACAAAGGGCTTGCCGGGGGAAGCCAAAACATGGCATTTACTTTTGCTTACTTTTGCTCGCCTTAGCTTTTGGAAGCAAACGCCTGCCTAGCCAGTGGTCCCATTCGACCAGAACGGCCATGTCTGGGGTACTCCAACACTAATATATTGTGTCTTGTTTTGGACCCCCCAAAATTGTGTTTTTCCTCTTGGTTTCCTTTTGAAGCCACAAAAAAGGGGGTCACCCTCCAAAAAGACACCCCTATTCAGTCGGAACAGACAAACCGTCCCTTGAAGACGTCCTTACTTGCCGGTGCTCAGTAGGGAATGAGACTTGGAATGACCCTCATAAACCATCCATCTGGTGGTTTCCTTTATTCAAAAATCCCCCAAACCGCTTCATTCCCACTCATTCCCCAGTTCTCGCACCCAGCTGAAGCACTACAGCAAGCTTAAGGATCGCAGTGCCAGCCACGCCGTGTGCCCCGGCAAGGCCCAGAGGAAGCGCCCAGTGGTGGGGGCCGCTTCCAACGGCACCGTCTGGTTCTGCGCCAGCTGGGACCGCACCGCCGCGTCTCCAAACCAGCCGCCTGGGACACCAAACTCCGCGTCTGGGGACCCCCGACCCCAAAACGTGGGTGTCTTAAAAATGGGAAGCCCCAAACTGGTGGTTTTGGTTTTCCGGTTGGTTTCTCACGAAAATCAGCCACAAGAGGGTTCCCCCAACAAAAACAGAGACGGGTCCGGATACCACCATGGGTTGTGACCTTGCAATAAGAGACCCCAAAATAGTTTTTCTTGGGCTACTTGTTTCCCATTGTCGTAGTGGCGTTATTTTCCGGAGCCGATTTTGGGCCACGCTCTCACCTCCAAGCTTGAAGTCTTGCACCAGTCCGAAATGATCACCTTAGCTGAGACTTGGCCCACTCGGCCACGCAGAATTCGATTTCGGATGGATGTTTCTGACTTGAGTGCGTCTTTGGGGCATCCCCCCAAATGACGGTTTTCCTTATAGTTTCCCTTTCAACCAACCACAACCAACCCAAAACGGAAACACTCCAAAAAAGACACACCCATTTCGACTACCGACCAATATGTTTTGGGGTCGGAGACCTATGCCCGACAGAGGATCCGGCGCCAGTCAGGCCCTAGAAAGGAAAAACAACAGTCGCAAGTCGAAATTCAAACCCAAATCCAAACCACAAATCCAAACTACCAATTGAGGCATACCAGACACGGGCCAGAAACAACAGGACCTGCAAAGCCATGCCAGACATGCCGAGTCGCTGAGGAAGAGGTTGCGCGAGGCGTCCACTGCTTCTGTGGCCCAAAGCTCACAGGGCGCGGCAGGCTCCAAGCAGCAGCCTTCTGAGACCAGGATCCTGGACCAATCCGACAGCCGGTTCAGTCACTGGGTCCTCCAGATTTGAGAGATTAGAATAAGGCTACTTTTTTTTTCTTTCAGGACGTCTACTTTAGTAGGGGATTTTCTCCCAGCCAAGAAAGGGGTGAGAAAGGGCACCTAGCTGGGAGACCTGGACCTAGGTCACCAACAACTCCTCCAAACCTGACTGCACTTTATCATACTCAACAAAAGCAACATAGCCTAATAGCCACAACCAGAACCAGAACCATCACTAGTCACCATGACAACCACCACGGCATAGACAAGAAAGCAAAACAAACACAGCAAAGGACAAGCACCGGCTTCGGCGCCTATCCAGCCGCATTTTCCGGGTCTCCCCGGGGATGTAGCGGGGGATCATGGTGTTGCGCTCAGCATCGAAGGTGAAGCCCGGGTTTTGGTCCCCCGATGGGCCCAGATGTGTTTCAGCCCAGGTGTCCAGGAGCTGATTCGCCGGAACCACTCCATCTTCCTCACGGAGAGCTGGCGAACATGAAGCACAAGCAGGTCCACCAAAATTCGGTTGCTTTCTGCTCCCCTGAGTAAAAGTTTAACCTTTAGTGGTTTGATGGAAAACCCATTAGTTGGCAAAAAGCTAAAGTCCTAACATCCCTTGGCACAATGCACCAAAGAAAAGGAGGCTTCTCCAAATTAGATGACTTTCCATGCTAACTCGGCTTTTCCAAACCTGTGTGTTTGCAGGGAAGTAGATGGTCAGGCTACATAGAAACCCAGTTAGGCTTGAGGGTGGAGCTAAGCGGTGCCTGGATACCAAGCTAAGCAATTCCCCTTGGGTACTCTCTCAAGCAGGGCTGTGGGAAACGACCACTTCTGTGATACAACAACAAGGGCTTCCCAAAGACAAACCCCGCATATAAAGGAGGAGATCCCCCCAAAGTATCACAGAAGTGGTTGGACAAACCCCTGGATCCCACAACCCTGCTCTCAAGTCCACCCCTGAGTGCACCTTTGGGGTGCAAGCTTCGAAGCAGGAACCCGAGCCTCAAGGGTCCGGCACGGTCGAGCCTGGTGCTGCTTTGAAGACCGTGGGAGAACGGGTCGTTCGTGTTTTTTGTTGGGGGGCAAGCATGGCCACCCAAACACACAGAGACCCACGCAGGGGTGGATGTTTTCTCTTTTTTTTTTGTGAGGGTACCATCTTCACCTTGGTTC